TTCCTCTGTGAGTCAAATTGAAAAACATGTAAAAAAAATTGTACATATATATAAATGACGTGTCATACATTCCTCAGACGCTGTGTCCCTTCAGTGGGAGGGGCTTAACTACATCTTCATGCAGCATCAACCTGTATCATATGAACTAGATTGTCCTGATCCGGTGTTTTGTGTCTGCAGGTGAAGAGCAGTCTGCAGCTGAAGCCGACGGCAGCGCTGCTCACCGAAAAGACCGACACAGGTAACAGCTGACGCGCTTTTATCCACGCTCAGAGGAGCGGGTGATTTTCTGGCTTTAACCACTTCCTGTCTGTGAGCAGATGACAACGCAGACGACAGTTTGTTGTTGGAGTTTTCATCTCGAAGCGAGCCGGCGCATTTCGTCACCCTCAGCGACTCCGAAGATGAACACGTGCAGAAGAAGGCGGAGCAGCGGCCGTGAGTCAGAACCCGGATCGTGCCCGAGCTTCCGAACTTTAACCCGAGTTTAGTTTGAATTCGTTGCTGTGCCTCTTGCTTCATTTCAGAGACGCCGAGCGCTGTCCGTCCCCTCCTCCTCCAGAGAGTCCCGTACAGAAACAGTCCAGGGCGATGAAACAGAAGCTCAGGTGAGTCCGCGTGTGTGCTTCCTGTTTCGTTCTCCAGACACATCCGCTAAAGATCAGCGCTGGCTTCGTTTTTGTTCCCGCCTCAGTGAGATCGACCGGAAGCTCCGGGCGGTGAGCTCCCTCCTCTCTCCAGAGCCTCGGGGCGGCCGGTCGAGACGGCGCCGAGGTCCTCCCGTGTCACATCCTGAGTATGTGCGAGTGGACGACGACGATGACGTCATCATCATGAGCCCGGAGCCGGAGTCAGCGAGCTCCTCAGTGCGAGAGATCCCGCTTAAGATCCGCTGCAGGACTGAGATCCACAAGATCCCGGTGCTGTCGGTACGTACAGGTAACAGCAGCGCAGGTTAATAAAACGCCGCTGCAGCGTTTCAGCAGGTGTGTTAAGCTCCGCCTCCACAGCAGTCAGAGTCACATTGATTGAAAAGTACTGACCCGGGGACCAGACACCCAACCCAGAGGATTATGGGCCCTTTAACTTGATGTATGTTTAAGCATCCTGTCAGTTATTGATTGATTGATTTTTTTTAGTCAACGCCTTTAAGCGATGTGGTGACGCAGCTGTCTGTCATCCTAAACGTCCCGCCTCCTCGCCTCCTGCTGCTGAGGGAGGAAGAGGAGCTGCCGACGAGCGCCACCATCAGCGAGCTCGGCCTCGGCATCGCCGACATTATAGGTGAGTCCCAAACACAAAGAGTGTGTCCTCCGTACGGCGTCACCGTGGATTTTAAACAAACGCTCAACAAGATGCGAGGTCGATTCCACAGGTTCAACTGGTAGTTGTTGTATTTGCTGTTCACTGAAACTCTCAACGTGAGGTCCAGAGGTCCTCTTATGTTGAAAGGGTTCTGCCCAGCACCGTTTCCTGTGTGTGGATGAACTCAGGGGGGTGATATCAGACAAAGAAGGATTATTTTGAACTGTGATTCATGTAAAGCTGCTCTGATGGAGTCCCAGAGTGCAAAATGTTTTCTTCTTTGTGTGTTCAGAGTGTGTGGTCATGGCGGCGGAGGATGGAAGCCAGTCAGACGGTGATGGCAGCGTCATCACTGTGAGGCTGCAGAGCAAAGACAGAGACTCTTCTCAGGAGTTCTCTCTGCACAGAGTTCGTACCTCCTCCTCCTCCTCCTTGTTTCTCACAGCAGGGCGTTAACGCCGATGATGTAATGACGCCGTCTGTTTGTTCCTCAGGAGGCGCCGCTGAGGTCCATCTTCTTCCAGTACGTGTCCAAGATGTCCAACAAGGATCAGAAGAAAGTGCGCTTCCATTTCGACGGCTCCAAAGTGACGGGCAGCCAGACGCCGGCGCAGCTCGACATGGAGGACGGTGACATCATCGAAGTCTGGGTCTGAGGCGTCCACTTCAGCTCTGCGGTTTATTTAAGCGTCACTGCGATCATTTCAGAGGTCACTTTATTCTCAGGTGCTGACGAGGGGACACGGACAACATGACAGCAAAATCCAAGCGCACGAATCAGGTCTTTAACCTTTCTGTGTCCACACTGAAGCCACTTCCTGTTTTTGATTTTGAGTATTATTTTATGAAAGTCAAATAAAAGCAAAACAAGCTGACCTCACATTATTTCCATGACTGAGGTCATGATGAAAAACCTCCACCTGTACTGGGAAGAACATGTACTGTAAATAAAAGATGGACACAGATGGTCCTGAAAGATGACGTTTACAGTGTTTGATGAAATGTGAAGAAAATGACCTGATGATGATGTCGGTGACCATGTAGGAACAAACAAATCCGGTCACAGACTCACTGCCCTACAGTCGCTGGCACCGTGGCAACCACCGGTCACTAAGGAAAAAAGTGTATCCCCCAACTGGTCGGCAAAAACCTCGCGATTGCTTCAGTTGCTAGCATGTTGCTGCGGTTCACCCTTTAAATAAAAGGTGTGTTAGAAAATGACCAATTTATGAGAATTTCTTTATTTTCTTTCACAAAAGAGAACGAAAAGCCAAGTTTAGCAAAAGCTTTTTTATGTATTTAAATCACCATTTTATTATTAAAAGTGTAATTTTTTTAAAGGGAAGTTTTGGGCAGTTTTGCCAACAAAAAAAGTTCAATTTTATTATTATTATTATTATGATTATTATTAATAATAAAATTATTATTATTATTATTATTAATGATAAAATTATTATTATTATTATTTAAATTCACTATTTAAGAAATGTTTGTTTTTTTATCTCGGTTTTATGAGAAATAAAGTTACCATAAACAAATCCTAATTTAAAACATAAAAGCGGACATAAGCTCCTCCACCCAGTTTTACTGCTAAAAAAATAGTGTTTCTATCAGCGGGTGGAGGAGGACCCACTCTGCGTCACTTCAGGTTGGAGATAAATCCACGGAACGTTACTGAAGCACTATCAGCTTCTCCACCCACTCACATCACGGCTGATCGAGGGATTGATTCCGTCACGTGACTTTCGGTAAGCGGGTCATGGCGTCATGTGAGCGGAAGTGGCCGCCAGAGGTGTCATGGCGCCGGGAAAGAAGCGTCTGTCCTGGAGCGTCGGGCTTTAAACGCTTCGTTGGCGTTAACGTCTCTAACTCGGCGCACGGCTAGTGTTTCTGTTTGACGGCGTCAGGATGGAGTCTGTCACGAGCTCTTAGCTTTGTGAGAGGAAGTGAAGATTTGGAGCAGAGAAGAAGAAGAAGAAGCGCCAGCCTGACTCATCCTCGCAGGTAAACAACAACAGCGGGCCCACAGACCTGCTCTGCAGAGGCCCATTTAAAAAACAGTGAATTTAGGGTGGCTTTGATTTTCCTTATCGGAGATAATTAGATTTTACTGCTCCTGACTCGTTTATCAGCGCTGACCGCTCGGTGATTTACTTAAAGAAGCCTTCAAGAACTTATCATTTAATCTCCGCTAAAACAAAACGCGTTTAAAAATGTAATCAAATGTTAACCGAATTTATCAGCAGAGCTTTAAAATGTGCTCTGAAAAATCTCAGCTGATAAAAAAGTAACATAAAAGTTTGCTCTAAAGAGAAATCCAAAAGACTAATTTTTTTGCATGTTCGTTGGTGTTCCGGCTTTGCTGCGCTGCTTGGCTGTACCTACATTTCCTAACGCTGTAATAAAAGAGCCGAATTTAACGCAGCACGCATTAAAAGGTAATAAACCACATTTCAGGTCAATATAATGAACTGTTATTATCTTTGATGGCAGAACAAACACAGCTGTGATGATTACGAATCGAGTTTAAAGACCTTTAATCTTCTTTCAGCCTTTTAAAAGTAAAGTTCCTAATTGGGAACATGTTGAATGGAGATCGGAACATGTTGAATGGAGATCGGAGCACAGTTTAAACACAGTTTACACATTAATATTGAATTTATGTCAAGATTCCTGAGAACGTGTTGAAGCTGAATGACGTTTATTAGCAAAGTAGAAAAAGTGTGAGACATTTGAATGGAGTTTGGTGCTGCGCTCTCTCTCCTTCAACCTCGTCAGCTGCTGCCTTGTTCAAACAGCCTTTTGTTGACTTGTGCAGGAGTGCAGAGCAACAGCAGCACCCTTGTATTGATGAGGATCCACTGATCAATAAGATGAGATTGCAAAGGGTCACCTGGACATGTCTTATCTCTATTGGAGTCACTTAACAGAAGCATTTCTGTATGAAAGCAAAACATCAGCCTGAATCAAATATGAGCTCATTTAAGAGCAGTAAGGATGGACGAATGGTGCTGAGCAGAGTCCAGGGTGGTGGTTGGTGCTCAGTAGCTGGACTGTTTCCGTTTATTTGCATGTAATCATAGTCATAAAGCCAGCATCAATTCCACTCCTCTGATGTCCAAGTGCCTTTATTTGAGCAGAGGAGAGATGGACCACCTCAGAGTCGCACGTTTAATTCAATAAAGTCAAAACAAAAAGAAAGAAAAGAGCGGCAGAGCGTTTGATGTTCACCGCGTCAGCAGATTGTGCTCGTGTAGAGCGTCACATGGCCGTGGTTTCACTCGGTTCTCCTTTCTCCGCTTCTTCCTCTTCTCCTGCCTTTATCCTCGGAGCTCCTGCAGAGCTTTCTGCTGCCAGAGCAGGTTTATGAGTACGGCGTCATGTGTTCACCCGGAAGTTTCAAGAACTCCACCAGTAGATAAACTGGATTTTCCAGCCACTGTTCAACGTTCACCTCCTGCATGTGGAAACATGAACACCACCATTTACACAAACCACTGAACTCAGTCGGCTGTTTCACTGCTGCTTCTTTGAAGACGCGTTCGTACACATATTAACTGCATCCATGTAGTTCTGCTCTGTGAGCAGTAAAACTGCCAAAGAAGGAAGAACATCGCGTTCGACGAGCTGTTCATGGAAAGCAAACATTTCACACTCGCTGTGGCGTGACTCTGTCACTTCCTGCTGTCTGCTGCAGGTGAGCGATGTCTCGATATCAGTTTGGATCCGTTTGCAAACGTGTCAGTTTTCTTACATTACATCTCCTCTAACTGCTAAAGAATCCTCCCAGCAAATTCCCAAATGCACATCTGTAACCGCTGATAGGTCAGGTTAAGCCACGCCTCATGTACTTCTGTTCAGACCTTTTTGAGTCGTGCTGCTTACAGACAGGATAGTCGGGTAAAAACAGGCTCCGAGCACAGCTGACGATGCTTGGTCACATGACTCCAGGTCACACCTGTTTGAGCGATCCTGCTACAAACGGACTGAAGCACCGGTAGAAGGAGGATTTAGTGAAGCGTCCGTCGGGCAGAGGACCCAGAACGGGGCCCTGTGGCCCCCGCGGGTCAGTGCGACGGATCGGTGAGTAATAACTATCTGATCTCTTTCCAGCGGCGGCCATGTCTCGAGGCGATCCGATGTCGGACTCTGCTCCGTTCTTCTCCTCTGACAGCGAGGCGGAAGGTCCGGAGGATCAGGGCACCGCGACGGCCAATCAGCAGCCAGACGAGGAGTCGCCCAGCGGGGTGTCCAGAGGCCGGGCGTTGGTGATCGTCTTCGTCCTCTGCTACATCAACCTGCTCAACTACATGGACAGGTTCACCGTGGCAGGTGCGCTGCTGCCGGGGACGTTTGTTCACATTCACGTGTTTGACACAAACGGGCGACAATAACGAAGTGAAGCGTGCGAAGCTTCACGTGTTGGTCCAAAGCATGCGTGCAAGTTCTTTCTGTAACTCCTGCTTCTGATGCCAGAGGTGCAGGTGAGTGAAATATGAGTGAAGTAAATGACGTTTGTTTTGTCCACCAGGTGTTCTCCCTGACATCGAGCACTACTTTGGGATCAGCGACACAGAGTCTGGCTTACTTCAAACAGGTAAGAAGGAGAACGTCAGCCCCTCATCATGTAGCAGGACTGATGCTTCATGAAAAGAACGTTTTCTGAGCTGCTGATGGTTATGGTCACGAGTTACTTGACTGAGCGTCAGACTAAAGAATTTGTGCACGTTGTAGTGACGGCTCTTCAGGTTGTTTTGTTACTTTAATTAATTTATTAACAACAA